AAACAGAAAAAAAAAACCTTTTTTTCAGGAATAAGGTTGTGTTCTGGGCTATTAAGGTTGCGCTCTAGGCTATTAACTTTTTAGTTTGTGTTCAAGGCTATTAAGAAATCGGAATCCGAGGTATAAAACTTCAAAACTTAAGTGCGATATCCAATGACTATTTGAGAGCATTTTTCACACAGAGGCGAAGCTGCGCAACACTTGCGCTACAAAACCAGAAAGTCGCAAAAAATTGGAAAATGTCGAAAAACAAGATCTATCAAAACGAATCAGGCTAGTTTTGAAACAAAAACATGCCAGGACAAAAAATGTGGACTCGAATCGGAAGAAAGTTCACCGAGCGGTAACAAACCCAACATAACAAACCCAAAAAAGTTAAAAAGTCCCACTTCCCTCAAAACACGCATATACGAAAATTTTTTGCTCTATAACGAGGCCAAATTGCCAAAACTTTGTCGGAACAATCAAGTAAAATGAAATAAGAACAAAGGGAGCGTTCATGTTGCAGAAAACGCTTACATCTCAGCTTACAAGCCTATATAATTTGGGCCCGAAACATATCAAGCCAGGAAAAAACACAAAAAAGCCGAAAAAAGTTGCCTTGAAAAACTTGAGGCCTTATTTCTATAAATATTTTAGCAATTTGTGCAATCCAGTGAGCATAAATAATATGTTTAACTTAAAACGACTCTCAATTAGGTCACTAAGCCGATTAAAAAAGCAGAACTCATTTGGGCAGAACAGTTTGAAGCCAAAACAAAAACAAAAATATACGAAGTCGAGAAATTACGAACAACACAAGTAAATCAAAACACTTACAAAAAAAAATGTGAAAAGCGTACATCAAAAAGAAAACAATTACACGAGGTGGCAACTGAGAAGACAAATTATAAGCCGAAAAATAATAAGCCGATAATTTTTTGACACCAAATATTTCCCGTTTAAATAAAACAGGTCCTGTCATTTTTAAATTGATAGGACCATTGCCGCCCCAGGCGTATTCTCCATGCCTGTATTTTTCCGGAGACACATAGAAATTTGAATTCGAGATAAACTGAACCTAAATTTACCGTTTCCAACTTTGAACATTCTGGAGCGAAGTTATTTAAGGGAAAAGGCTAGTAACAGAGTACAATACACTTGCTTATCGCAAGAGTAATAAGTATTTAGCACCAGAAGCTGCTATCTAGATTTTACACGCTAATGCCTCGATGCAATGCAAACTAGCGAATAGATAGGGATATGAACCCTGCAAATAATCAAACATTTTAAAAAAAAAGAACGTTGAAATAAATGTTTGTCAAGAGTTTGGTCTAGATTGATGTTCGATTTACGGAAAAATTCTTATTTCATGCATATTAAAAAACCATTGGATGATGTATTCAATGGAACAGCAGAATTTTGGATCTAAACGCACGCTGTTCACCTCTAGACCAAGTGGAAATACGGTTCCATAATGAATAAAGCCAAAAATCTTCCAGATTTATGCGAAAAATTGTTGACGGGAAAAAAGTCTAGTTCCCGATAACAAGTCATTTGCTCTTGCCAGTAAAATTATATCCAAACGCCTCACATTAAGCGCATTTTTGATCAAATAACCGATCAGATTGAAAAATTTTGATGAAGCACGGACAAAATTACGGGTATTGTCTTTCACAAGATCTGAATACGATACGATTGCTTTCATTCGTTAAAAAAAAATAAACTAATTGAAAACCCGATAAAATGGCAAGGAGCTACAAAAAGACGATAGTAGAAAACAAGGCAGTTAAATTTACCTTCAAACAACGAGGTACACCGGGGATTAAAACATGATGTTTTAAAAACAATGAACACACGCTTCATGACAGGGGCGAAACTGCACTTCGCAAACACAAGCGAGATAAGGACAAAAAAGTGTTAAAGGGGGTAAAAGTGAAAAAATAAAAAGATTAACCTAATAAAGTTCTGCTATGTGCCAGAATCGAACCCCTGATCTTGAGCTTCAATTACACTGGCCGCTTAATGATATTTAAAAACTACGGGCCCGGCTGAATCCGAAGGTACCTTTAGTATTGTATTTTTAAAAAGTGTACTGATGCGAAAAATAATGCGTAACTTTCAAAAATTGTCAACAAAACAAAATTTGGACTGTTACCTGTTCACGGCTGATTCCTATTAAGAGTACTGAAAACACGTTTATTTCTTAGAGGAGACTAAAACATCAGTTTTTTTTTCAATTTTATCATTTCAGAATTCGGTCGGTCGTGGTTGGGATATTGAACAAAGTCCAGAAATGGGTAAAACGTTACAGGTTTCTTACATCCATAGCAAACTCCTTGCTAAAATTGAAAAAATTAGCTCATGCAGAATATACCCATAGGAATTAATCTTTCGATCTGGCCCTTAGCTTCAGGTTTGGCAACGCAGATTTCGAGAAAACCAAAATTTTCCAGTAACGAACAAAATTGCAAAAATGAAGTTTTGATACGTTCAATTTTGCTTTTCTGGGAAACTTGAAGTCTTTTCAATTTTGTTATTTTTTTTTCATCAAGGAAGAAGTCGCCACTCAAAAATTAGATGAAAAGATATAATGCTACGCAGCTGAAGTAAATCACTTACAATAAAAAAAAATGTTGCCTAACATATGCGCACTTTTATTTGCGGCTGCGCTGTGTCATCAAATTAAGGGTAGCATAAATCTTCTGCTGATTTAACTCTACTAAAGTGCAAAAACATGGAATATTAAAAAGTTTTGTGAGCAATACAAACTACACTTGAGTGAAAAAAATGACAGCATGATTATTAAGAGATTAGATTCCTTCACTACGCGGAATTCCCACTTTTGATACCTTGTTACAATATCGCTCCCTTTTCCGGCAGACCATTTCTATAAGTTTTCTAATGGCGACAAAAATACTAATTTTGAGGAGGATCTCGCATTTTTTTCACAAATTTTTCTGAGACCCAGAAAATTTTAACAAAATAGGGTCTTTATGGTGTTTGGATGCTCGGAAAATCAGAAGTCGATTTTTAAAAAAGGGGTCAACACATAAAAGTGTCAACATAATAGTTGCCTCGTAAGCAGGACAAAAAATTCCAACCATTCATTTTTGCAAAAAGCATATTAACACCGTCAAAGCGCAGCATTGTAAGCTATCGAATAGAACATAGACATATAAGATTGTGCCGATAGAGAATAGTTTGGGATATAATGATTGCCTCCTTGAAAGAAAAATCAACTTCAGAAAAAGCAAAGAAAAACTCAACCATTATCAATCAACAAGCTTAGTATTTAACCAGTGACCACAAAATCGACAATATGTCAGCAGATCCCCGTTGGTATAAATATGCCATAAGAAATTCGTATCATAAAAACATCCTCAGCAATTAAGATTTGAAACTTTCAACTTTTACACCACAACCGACCTGAATCATTTTAAAAATAAAACAGAGGCGAACCGGAGCTATGCACCAACTGCGATACGTCAAAAAATAATAGAACGGCAGCTAGCCGACAAAAAATAGGACAAAAACACTGATTCGAAAACTTTATTTTAAAAATAGAAAAATTAGTACCGAACTGTTTTATTTACTGAGGTTCGATTCGAAGAAACATACTGAAAAAACCACAATTGTCAGTTAGAAATAGGTATTGAAAAACAAAAAATTCTTCGAACGGTTACTGAGCAAACACCACTTGGCTAGACGACAAATGTCCCAAAATAAATTGCTATTAAAATATTTGCGCTAAAACCCCATTCAACAACCATTTTTAACAACCCGTTCAAGAGCATAAATGCAATAAAAAACTGTGGCCGTTCAAACGACAAATTATGAGGCAATCGAGTAGATATATTATTAGCCGAAACCATTTAAGCCAAAAAAAAGTGGCAAAAAAACTAAAACAACCAGCATCAGTAAAAAAGACCAAAATAAGAGTTGCTTTGAAAGCAACAACAAAAGTTCGAATGAAACGGCCAATTAAAATGCAAAAATATTCACCGAATCTGATACCGAGCATTTCATCAGAACAGACACGCCAACTGATTTTGTTAAAATAGTTGTTAACCCAAAAAAAAGTCGCAATTACTCGCAATTACGATATCAAAACAGCTAGCAGCAAAAAGACCGCAAATTATACCCGAAAAAAATGGAAAAGGCTTAAGGAAGAAAAGAGAGGAGATAAAAGAGATGCAAATTTAACCAATTTTGACCTATCAAAAGATCCATTGGATCTAAGAAATGAAACATTTTTCTGTTTTCCGCTTGATGACACACCTAAAAACAAGCCGTGCCGGCTTAATAGTCTTCTCCAAACAAAATAGATTTATTTTTTGTAAGATGATACAAATAACTCTAACTAGATATAGTTGCAAACAGTTTATTAGTATATCACTATTAATTTTAGTACATAGCCAGCAAACAAATGAAAAAATACCAAAAATAGAAAAAAAACTGAAAGCTCTTTGGATTTTAAGACTCTTTTATGACACACAATTTCTCAATAAAAACAAACCAATTTGAGAAAACTGGATCAATGGGTATTTTTTGTTTCACTGAAAAATTAAAACCCACTTTCGAAACTTGAGTCAATCACGTTTTTTTCATCACTCGCACTTTCATCAATGGAGCTACTTCCATGTTACTTCCGTTTACCATGTGAATTCAATTGAGTTCAAAAAAAATCAAAAGCCAAAACGCGAAAAACCAAATTTCCGGCTACAGAACCACGAGACCATTTTTTAACTGATAGTATTGAAAAAGGTAAGGTAATTTTTATTAAGGCGAAGGAAAGTCAATGGCCTGACATTTTTCAGACAATTTACTAAAATCAGACACTTCATGAAACTCCAGTTAATATCTTTTTTCAGTTTGAAAAAAAATCAAAAAAGAAATATAAATTGATTAATCAAAAAAATCAGCACACTTCATTATACCATTACGATTTAGCTAAACTATGAGTTGTTTTCCGTCATGAAAACTATAGGCCAATGATTTATTGATAAAATCAAGTTGACTCGATTTTGATTAATTATTGTCCCCATATAGCGCCAATAATTTTAATGACAAATAAACAACTACCAACTCATAAATTTCACACCTCAATGTTAAGAAAAACTGCGAAAAAGCACAAGCACAAAATATTTTCACTATCAAAGCTACAATCAAATTCAATAAAACGATTCAAACAAAAACAATATCCAAACTTTCACAATAAACTCATATTAAAAGATTACAATTCAATGTCGACTTAATTTTTACTGCTTGAAAAACATCCCAAGAGTTCTTTGTCCCTTAACGCGTTCTACAGTTTTTTTAACTACTTTATTTTTAATTTGTTTTTGCTCCTTCGGCTGTTCTTTCGGGTCACTTTTCTGCCGTTTACTCTTCGAGGGTTTTTCAATTAAAGTTTTTTTATCAATCGCATTTTCCTCCTCATGGATCTTGCGTTTAACCTCTTTTTTGACTTCCATTTTTTCGTTCTCTGTATTTTTGCTAGCTTTCAGGTTTTGCTTAAACTTAGCTATTTTATCTTCTTCAAAATCAAACTCTTCTGCGACAATAGTTTTCTCGTGTTGAGACTGGTCAATGCAGCTTTCATTATCTTCACCAGCAAACATTGCCGAACATCTTGAACTCTCGTCCTCTAAAAACTCCATATCCTTCGCTCCAAAAAACGGAGTCTCTGGAGTTTTAGCCCAGTTCATTTCTTGCGATTTCCTCGATTGCTTAAGAGGCGTTTTTGGATCTTTCGCTACTTCAACTTCGACTACACAATCGGAAATAACCCTTTCAAAAGTTAATCCAACTGCCGGTGATTTGAAAGCATTTAGAATCGGCGTGTGATTTAACTTCTCCGAACTAAAGTTGAGATTAGTCACGCTTCTTATTGAGTGAATAACATTCAACTTTATCACCATTTTGTGAAGCAGTTTGAACGCCTCGCGACCTGCTAAAGTTCCTCCGCTGTTGGGAGTTTTTGGAGACGGTGCCGACAAATCAATCGCACAAACTTCCTTTAAGCATTGCCACAATTCATTGTACACACATTCGACAAATGGTTTATGCTCTTGTGATCTCTTGCAGCTACAAAACTCTTTCTGCAAAGTCTGCAGAACACGTTTTATCGCAATTTTAGGCGACAAACTATAGTCTTCTAAATGAGCCCTTAGTCTATCCACGAAGTCAACATACTCGGCCAGACCCTTCATATGTTGGAAAATTGAGCTCTTCGAGCTAGGTCTATAACCTTTGCCTCCCAAACGAACTTGGGTGATGAGAGACAAGGCTGTTTGGAACATAGGCATTTCTTTTTCCAGTGAGCTCTTCTTAAGAGCTTTGAATACAGCCGATTCCAATTCACGGTCTGGGACATTTAATGTTCTCGCTAGAGACAACTCGCATCGAGAATTTACAAGTAGAGTCAAATATGCGGCCCATGCAGAAAAAAGACTCAGATGATTCTCGGGCAATTCTTTCAAAAACGTTATTCGATTCTCTTCGGCGGCAGATTTGAGGTCGAAATCGGTGGAACCATCAGCGCACTTCAGGTCAAATTTCTGTCTTATTTTATTAAGAATCACGATTTCCAACGGGTGCAAGTTACATTCAACATCAGCACATTCGAGAGCAAACAAAACATCGTGCCCTGACGCTTCTAGGAATTCGAGTTTTTGGACGAATAAATCGAGAGCTTCCATTATATCATATTTGTTATTTTCAGATAGAAATGATTTGAAAGCCTGTGAGTCCGGTTCGTCTAAATTTTCTTTGAACATTTGTTCCAGAAAAGTTATTTCAGACTTGTTGTCCGCTGTATCGACAAACAAAACAGAGTTACTATCTTCGTTTGAGACCGAGAACTGCTGCAATTCTGAAATTTTTGGCTTTAGGGCAATCTGTTGTAGTTTGCGGTCGTTCAGGGCTAATTTGTGAGCTAGCTGAGAGTCGGTGGGCGAAACGAACAGTTTCTCTTGACCCAGATCTTCTGAAGTACCTAGAAAAATTTCGATTATTTACAATCAAAGCCAAAATAGCAAAAGTGAACAAAAGAATTATTTTTAACAAACTTAATCAGCTTAGGTTATATGGTACTTGACAATTTCTTAGCAGCAGGGAAGGATTTAACGGCGTTTTTTTAGCTTGAATTTTTCGCACATTGAACTTCTCGTAAATTTTTTCAAAAATCCGCTTATGGCGCAGCAAATTTTGGCATGGAAAGGTCTTCTAAGTGCTCAAGCAGAGCTCGAAAATTAATGAGGTCAAGCCACAAAATGTCTTCCCCAACTTCTCGGTTTCTTTGCAAATAATCCACCTTTCCTCTCCAAAAAAAATGCTAGATGCGTTCCTAATTAACAGCAAACTGGAAATGAGATTTCTCATGCGAAGTATCTATATACAAACTACAAAGCTTTCGCGAGTAGCCAATTGCCATATAGAAGCTCAGAATAAAACGAACTCAGTGGATCAGTGGTTCTTCCAAAAAAGTGTTCGCATTCTATTGAAGAATTGTCTTCTATATTTCTTCAAAACTTTTCCTGATTGAGAATTTAATTGAAATTGTGCCACAGGATTAAGTGATTAAGCTAATAGAAGCATAACTCGCCTCTATAAAAGCAGGAGTAAACTCGGATCTCTTAGCCTCTCATTCCAGCGGAAAATTAGTCTGAACAGCAGTCATAAGCATAACTATTTTTCTCGCTACAGAGCAAACTTTTTCAACACAGAGGCGAAGCGAGAATACGACAAAAAGCAGCTTTAGAAAGCAATAAAAAATAGAGCTAAGCCTCGAATTAGAAAAAATTCGGCAAAGTCTAGGATTCGACCTGCGACCTACGGCAATCAAGAGATTTTGAGTCTCACGCACTAACCACTCACTCTTAAGCAAATAAAAACACAAATAATAGTCACGAATAAATCAGCTACACATGCTAACAAATTGCCACTGCCATCAGCAAAAGTGGCACCAAATACAAATAGACGCAAATTTGCAAGTAAAAATTTGGAATATAACAGACTGAAGGCATCCACGCCAACTTTGCGAGATATATTGAGTTAGAAAATTGCGAGATATAAGAATTGCGAGATATTTTGAGCTAGAAAATTTTTGAAAACGAGTTTTTATTATAATATTATAATGTTCTTGGAAATAAATAGCTTTTTTTTCGGTTCATTTGATGAATTAAAAACGCATAAACTGTGTAAAACTTTTTTCAGTTCATTTGATGAGTTAAAATGCGTCAACTATAGTAGTATGCGAATGTCAAAGCACATGCTATCAAAAAGCTGTAAAGGTGCATCAAAGATGACACCAATATTTGCGACATGGGTTAGCGTCAGCTTAGTGTATTATTAAGAACCTTCTTTTTTTTCCAACCCAAGCTGACGCTCGAGTAAAATTGTCAATAGCGATTATTGAAATTTTGTGAATAGCGATTCAAGGTTGAAAGGGCTCTAATATGATACCACACAGTGCCTCACCAAATATCAGAAAAAGCGAGGTAAGAACACCCTAGTAAAAACACGCAAGAAAAACGGATGTATCTGTACTGATCTTCAAGGCCCCTGCTTAAAATGCACCAAAAAAAAACGAAATAAAACGAAACCAATCACTCTCGGCAGCAAAAATGTAAAACTTCATTTTAACATCTCGCTCCAGGACGAAATCTTGATCGCTCCAGCTGCCCTTTCGGTTATCGTTTTTTGAGACAAAATTGAGAACAGCTTTAAAAAACTTCATCGAAATTTTACTTTAAGCAATATCAGCAGTAATTGACGTAATTGGTATCTACTAAATTATCGATGCGACCAACTACTTTGCCTCAATTCAACTTTAAATGATTTTGAGCGCAGTACAATTTTCACTTGGCTACTGAAGACAAACTGTTTATTTCCCAGCCAACCAGGAACCAATATTTTGCTCACACCTATACGCAAACCTTAGGCGAAATAAACATAGCAAGCAGACAGGAGACAAAAAATCAAGGAACTTAAGAAACTGAAAATCAAATTGAATTTTCATTTCCGGAGATTTAGTAAATCACGCAGAAGCTCTTTTATATTCAAACATCTTGCATGATTGATTTTCATTGCGCCGCATAACAGTAAGACTAGGGTGATTTTTGAAACTTGAAGACATTCAATCTTGTTCGCGCTATTTGAAATGTTGATATCAAAAAGCAAGCACAGGCGAAGCCAAAAGTAAAAACAACTAAAAAAATCGGCTACCTCTGAGGTTCGAACCTGTGACCTAGAGATTACGAGTCTCAAACACTAACCCCTCAGCCACGGAAGCTTAATGACCAAATGAATAGCCACAAATTAAGGAGGCACCAGATGCTATGCAATTTCCAAGGCTACAGTGAAATTTCCAAATAAGTGATCACTTTTGATGAACACTTTTATTTGCGAGTAAGGCTAGAAAAAAAATCGTAATAATACACTAAGCTGATCGCAAGTGTAAAAACGACGGAAATCTAAGACTTGATCAAATATCAAGATCCTCTTTCCGAAAAAAAAAACCATGAAGCGCCAACTCGTCAAAAGCGACAATTGGTCTAAAGCGATAACTCAAACCAGACGTTGTTTAGTAGTTTTTAATTAAAATTGGTGATTAAAAACTAGCTTTCAAAATGCATGATTGTAACTTTGGGTGCAATTAAAAAGCGCAACTGAATTATGCCAAAATTAGCGACGTTTATGAAATAACTAGCGCATGACTCGCACCTACGGTGCTTCAAATAGATCCTTGAACGTTAACAGAGCTTCTAAAGTACGAACTAAAATGCTAATTGCAACCGCAAAGATGAACTGGGCTCATGTATCAGGCGTTTCCACTTCATAAAAAACGCCTAATCTCGGAAAAGGATTTGAGCAGTCAAATGTAGAAGGCAGATTTGCAACGCCGAATGTGTAACGCGTCATTTCGGAAACCAAAAGGATTTGAGCAGTCACACTTAGAGGCTAGATTTGCAACGTAACGCTTGAATGTGCCCTGATAGCATCCCGCTATAGCGTTCAGAAATTCAACTTCGGTTATTTTTTTTATATCTAAGTTAAAAAACGCCATTTCTCGAAAAGCGAGAGGATTTGAGCAGTCATACTTCGATATCAGATTTTCAACCCCTGAATGTACCTTGACAGCACATCACTACAGGATTAAGAATTTCATGTTTGGTCATTTTTTTATATCTAAAATTTAAAAAAAAAATGAAAAATTCATTAAAAAAACGCCATATCTCAAAAACCAAAAGGATTTGAGCCATCATACTTGGACGCCAGACTTGCAACGCCTGAGTGTACCCTGACAGCAGCCCACTTTGTGGTTGAGAAATTCTAGTTCGGTTAGTTTTCTAATATCTAAGGGTTTCGAATATTTTTTTTTTAAATAAAAAAACCGCCATATCTCGAAAAGCATAAGGACTTGAGGAGTCATACTTGGACGCTTGATTTGCAACCCCTGAGTGTACTCTGACAGCTACACACTATAGGGTTGAGAGTTTCATGTTCGGTTAGTTTTCTATATAAGTTATTTGAAAAAAAAAATCAAAAAGACGCCATATCTCGAATACCAAAATGATTTGAGCAGTCATACTTGGACGTCAGATTTGCAACCCCTGAACTAATACCCTGGCCGTACCCCACTATAGGATTGAGACTTTCAAATTGAGTTAGCTTTTTATTTCTAAATTTTTTGAAAAAAAAAAGAAAAATCATAAAAAAACGCCGTATCTCGAAAACCGAAAAGATTTGAGCCGTTATACTTCGGCGCTAGATTTGCAACCCTTGAATGTACCCAGATAGCACCCACTAAAAGGTTGATAAATTAAAAAAATATAATTAAGTAAATTCAGAAACAAAAACTTTGATAATTTTACGTTGCGAATAAAGGAAAAAATGTAAGAGTCAAAGCATTCGAGCTCCAACAGTTTTTGAAACACGACTTCAGTAATTTTTTTCAACACTTGCAATGTTTTGGCCATTTAACAGACCAACATAGGTAGTTCCTTAACACGTGTAACAAGAAATTTATCAAGCGTTTTAATATACGATATAGCTTAAACGTGCAAAACCACTTTCGTTAAATATGCAAAAAGTCATAAGTTGAAAAAGTTTAAACATGCAAACATTAAGTTCTCTTAAAGATGTCAACATAGGGACTTCTTGAACATGTGTCACATTAAACGCTAATTAAATAATAGATAAATTACGTTAAAGCAACAATCCGTAGCCCTAAGAACACTTGAAATTATTTTTCTGTTTCACCTTTCTTTGCTTCTTAATTCTTACTGCATCAAAAGTATCTTCTGCAATTCACAATTAGTAAGCGCGGGACACATGAACTTGTTCTTGATGAATTAATTTTCAATAGAAACTAACAACTCCTTGTAAGACATCTGTCATAACATTCAACGAAAAGATAGTTAACAAACATGGCGAGCATAAAGAAGGCTAATTTTTTTGCGAAAAGAGCAAAGCATGACACAAAAGTTCCAAATGTGATAAACTCAATCTCGATTGATTGAACTTCTAAAAATTTACTAAAACAAAACCACTTTAAAGCAACTTGGGGGATTATCTTACACCTTTGACTTCTAGATAGTGTTTTGCATTTCATTGTTTTTTCAATGATAAAATTGATAATGTTTTTGATCAAAGGTTTTGTCGGTACCAATGGTCACTTGGTGCGAATAGTCGCGCTATGCAAATCATTTCTTTTTTTAAATTATTACCATTTGTAGCTTTCAACCATTGTCACTTTGGGTGAATTTTCATCCAACCTTTGACCCATAAAGCGATAAACCATATCGTTCATCAACACTAAAAAGGTTTTTCATTTCATCAAAGTTAATCTCGCCAAAACTTAATTTTATCCTCGTGGATCAATTATTGTTCTTACTTTGTTTTGTGATAATTTTTCAAATTCTTACAGTATTCATGATTAATTTTTGGAAGAAATGGAAATTATAATTACTCGGCTAATTATTCTGTCGACAAACTTCTGCATACGAAGCAAAAACTAGGGGGGTTGGCGTTGCGCATTGTAGCTATAGTGTTATGATTTCGCATAACATAGACCAGAAAATTGGCCTGAACGAATAAATACCCCCGAGAATATATATTCGTCACGTTTGGCGAAAACGACGAAACAATTATTTCGTTTTAAACTGCAGAAATTTGTCAAATTGAGATTCCATTTTCTATCTGGGATTTTCCAGTTAGCTTCGGGGCTTTCTTTGCGTTTTACGAGCCAATCCGAAGGAGACAATAGTGAACAAAATAGTGATGGCTTTCATCCTTAGTCGACAAAAACACTTCCTGTCGGTCTGAACAAAAGCTGAAGAAATGAATAAATTGTACATCTTTTAAGTCTAACAAGAAAGCCATTTTCTATCTTTCCAATTAACTATTATTGCAAACTTGGGTACAATTTTTTGACTTGAGGCTTAACTTACTGACGTAAGGCAGTGAACAAACAAAGTGAATCAGCGTCCTTTCCACATTTGTAAAACAATTGCCATTGAAAACAATTTCCTGATTGCCGTTAATTTTGCTAGATGTCATCGAGAACTCAACAGAATTCATTTTTACTAATAATATTTGATTGGCACTACTGATGTCCTCCTCTTGTTTGGACAACTTTTCCGTATTAATGCTATTCGCTCGATCAGCTCGATCGCATTGATGAACAAAAAGAGACAGTAAGTCTCGGTGTTCCAACTGAGACATTTGCGCCCCGCTCGAAATTTGATCCAAATCTCCCGGGGAGCAGACTAGAAATGATACCATTTTGTACGCGTGATCTGACAGCAGAAATGGTGAACAAATAATTTGATCGACAGCTACTAATCTAAAAAGGAGAAAGAGAACGAAATCATTAGCTTTAATGCTGCCTTTTTGCGACGAGCACATCAAATAATAATGTAATGACTTCCTCATTGGAAATGAAAAGACGGGTTCAAACGCATTTGACGTAATCCCCTTCAAATTATATTAATTTCGCAACACAGAATTTCAAAACGATTTTAAAATTTCATGCATTAATAGACCAACCAACTTACTAAGATCTACATTTTGGGCCGCATGTCACAGAAGAATATTCGAAAAAATTGAAAACCGGATTGTCGACAATTTCCCTGCGCTACTATTCGCCAACAGAAGTATACTGCGGTTATCTGGGAATAGTTTTTTTCCGGCTATACGTGTATGCGGCTATAGGATTACTAACAATAAAAATACAAATCACTCCAAAGTTGAATTACTCATTTCAAAAAACTTATGTAAATTACCAGAAAAACACTTCATAGAAAAAGTTTTCTATACAATTCATCTGTGATCTGGGAGCATTTTTCCGGCGGTTTAAACTGATTGCACAAATCATCAAAAACATTTCGCGTTAACTTTCTTTGCAGCAAAAACAACAGTCTCAGTGAATGTCTTAAAACAGAATCTTTCTTCGTCTTGGGCAACAGATACTGTTCAAAAATGAAATTGCGGAATTTTGCGTCATTCCTGAAGTTTTCAGCCATACCCGCTAATGAGAAAATAAACTGATGCTGAAACATGTCCGAGTAAGGAAGCTTTGTGTCGGCTTGAATAACACTATTTAGAACCCGTAAGAGAGCGAGTTGGTTTTTGGTTCTTGCAAGATGGTTCAAGTAAGCCCCTGCAATATGTACAGCAATTTTGCTGTTCTCAATTCCTTCAGTAAATGCCGCAGGAATTTCTTCACTGTAAATTGAATCAGATACTTGTTCGGATTTTTTCGAGGCTTCTAGCTTCAACATTCCCGCGGGGTCAATTAATTTGTTCATTTTTTCCACATTATCCTCTACGGGTTTGATGAGATCGTCCACAAAAAGACAGAGGAGAGAGGGACAGAAGTTGCTGATGATTTTGGGGTCAACTTTTGGTTCTTTGAAGTTCTGTTTGTCTATGATCTCCCATGCGGATATGCCTAGAGTGAGAAGCCTCAGTAGCAGTAGTGTGTCGTCATTCCGTTTTGGGAACTGTCCTTTGCGATTGGCGAGCACTTGAAGTTGTCTGAATACACTGTGTACTAAAGTGTTCACTGTGTAAGGATCACACACTATCATTGAGACGTCACCTAAAACATGTTATCAGTTTTAAAGCAATAATCTTGGACCAACTTAACAAACCCCAAGTTAGGGAGGATTTGACGGGGGTTGAGAAATTAGACGATAAGCAATTTAGACGGAAATACTTAAAAGGAGGTGGCCAGTCGTTAGGAAGAATGGTCTAAAAGCAGAATGGGTCTAAGAGTAGAACCGTAACTGTAACTAAAACTAAAGTGGTAATTTTAACAGGTCAATTATAATTTTACCTGGTAATTTCTACTAAATGATGGAATTTTCAATTGTGAAGTCGAAAAGAAGGGGCGAAAATCTAATTTGAGAAAAAAAATTTTTCAAAAAAATAAAAAACAAAGATATTCAATATTACAAATGTGTGACCCCAAGTTGCTCGTCCAAACTTTCCTTGAAATTAATAATAATTCAATTAAAAACAAGCCCTCTAGTCACAATCATTTTGAGCCAGAACAGCAGTTGTCCGAATGAATTTTCGAGAGAAAATTATTGACAATGTCGCAAAAAACCCTACAGTACCGCTGAAAAAATTATATGTCGAAGAATTACAAGAATCAGATCAGAGATTTTTGGCCCCAAATTACGATACTATTCGGCGAACTATGCAACGAAAACGGACCAAAAATTTACCTAAGTCGCCGAAAATTTTCGAAGATATCAAACTTGAAGGATCGTGGACAATGACTCTGAATCGTCAAGATTTTCTACTTTATCAAGGTCAAGGTATGTTGATTTTTGGTATCAAACAGGGTCTTGATTTTTTGGTGAGAAGCCAAAAAATTTTGTGTGATGAAACTTTCAAAAAAAATCTACAAAAATTTGGTCCGAAAAATGCAACGAAATAATCGGCTTTCCCTTGATGCCCGACACCATCGTAACCGATTATGAAATCGGGGAGCAGTTCGAGAAGTTTTCCATGCTTCGGCACATTTTGGATGCTATGCATCTACCGAAAAATTCAAGAATTTGGACTAAGTTGCGATTACAAAACGGACAAAAATTTCAAGATATTGCCAGAAAACTTTTCAGTCTCGCATATTTACGTGTTAACGAGATAAGCATGGCGTTGGCTTATTATCAAGAAGAAATTCAAGAAAAAATCAATTCTTGCAAAAAATTGGAAAAATTTTCGACTATGTTTGGAATTTTTGGATTTTGGGTCTAATTCCAATGGATTTATGGAACGTGTTTGACCGCCCTGTGGATATTCGAACGACCAATAAGTGCGAAAACTGGAACAGAGGCTGGAACGATCTAATTGGAGTTCAAAAACCAAATTTTAGGACTGTCCTAAAAAAGTTAACAATTCAAGAATTGGAGTCAAGAGTAGAAGTTCGACAAATTTGCCGTGGCGAGGCTCCGCCGGAAAAAAAACGAGCGTTTCGTGAACTTTCGGCTTAAAAACTCTTATTTGGACGGCCAATTTCGCTGGATACTTATTGGAATGGAATCGCTAAAATTTGCCGAAATATTTGAAAAAACTCAATAAACTTAACTTACTCCAACTGATGTATATTTTATTCTAATAGTTGCGTATTGATTTTACCATATAATTCAACGTTTTTGTGTATTTTAGTACTTTTCTGCTCTTAGACCATTCTGCTTATTGCTCCGCCTCCTTAAAAGGAATATAGACGATTTCGCAAATCTGCAATTGTGAGAAAATTGACGAAAGTGAGAGAGATTAAAATTGTTTGCAGACAAATTGCTCGAGAAAAATATATTTGTTTGCAGACAACAGTTAAATTTCGGTAGCCAAAAATTTTACAAGTCAATCATGCATAATTTGTTCAATTCGAAACTCTCTTGTAATACTCCGATTTGACATTTTTTGTTCATTTAAACTAATTGTTTTGATTGGTATTGACATTTTATGTTCTTTTTGTATTTGTGAAACTTGACTCTTATGAAAAAATTTTGTTAGCCCTTTCCTTTTCATAGCTTTTTCGTCTAAAATGCCAAATCTGTACAAAATAAATTTCGTCTAATTTCGTTTTTGTAGCATCCATCTAATTTCCTAGGCCCCGGAATTGACACTTCTTGGACCAAGTTAGGAGGAGATTGTTCACTTCGTAATTAGTCTATTATTGTCTTTTGTTTGTTTGGGGGATTTTTCACTTGGTCAATTAGGGAGAGCTTGTTCATATGAGCCATCTGAATTTTCATCTGTTGCTTCTAACCTGCTTATTGCTACCAATGAAAACTCTTTACTTTTTCTTGTTCCATGTTCACGTTCATAAATATTGACACAATTTGCGATCTAATCTTAAAAAAAAAATTGCTATTTTTATTTGCATCAAATGTCATATTGTTAATTTCACTCATAAAACTGAGAATTAACAGCTGACAAAAAATTGATCACTTTGAAACACGGGGTTTCTAATCATCGCTTCCTCAAACGAGACCGTATCGTTTTTTTTTTAAATTGAACTCAGAATTGACCCCTTCTTATCACTCTACCTAGCACTCTGCTCTGGTCTTTCTTTAGGGAATGTACGAAGTTGCACATCTCCTTGGCCCTTTTTGAGTCCACTTCGCGCTCCTTTAGACAGGCATCCATGCACCATGTGAACCTAAAATACAAATTAAATTTTCATAAATAAAATGTTAAAAAAAAACGTTGCACTTTGTAGCGAGGCAAACTCAGTTGTCTCAACTACCATCATGTACGACATACCCGACACAAAAACATGCTATTTTTAATTATGGCTTGCAGGATGTGTATATTTTGAGCCACCCTGAAATTTTTATTCTTATTTGGATCATAGATCATTTTGAGTTGATTAGAACTTCTTAAATCCTCCGGTAGAACTGAAAACCTCAGGTGGAACGTACCAGGCACTGGATTTGTGGAGGGTCAAGAAAAACCAAGTGCAGATGGGACTCCTGAATAAAATAATTCACAACCTCTCCCTTCTCACAATAAGATCTTCTCACAATCGAGATGTAACAGTAACGTGATAAAAAAGACTACAGACTGGCTACCATCGCAAAACACCATGTAGATTTTTCTTAGTATTTATTATCACACATTTTTATAAGTTTCTCGAGAGAGGCAAATTGCAAACTTTTTTGTACAATTCAGCTGTAAGCATTGCTAATACTGCTACTCATATCTTCAAATACGTATCACAAGATTAGGCTGAACTGTAAAGCCGCCCCTCAGTGTTCGAAAAAAGTTCTATCTATTTCATAATACAAAAAGCAATCCAGAGAAAAATAAATAGTTTATAATATTCTGTTCTCTTGTCTTCAAAAAATGTACGAGTTAGGTCTGGCTAGAGAATTGCTCGTTCCAAAGGGATATTGTCCGCTACATTACGTGAAAACATCTCGTCCCGAGCCAGAGAAAATTCGGTGTTTGGCTTACGGCCAAATTGCTTTATGAACGAACACCCTATAAATCGGTGTTTATATAAGTGCATATCGTCAATAATCGTCGAAATTGCCGATTGAATGTCAAAAAAATATGCGACTAATTTCATAGTACCCAGCTTCCGTTTTATAGCCTGGATAGACCGCTCCACTAGGCCCCACCCGCGGTGATCTACAACAGGACAGAACGTATGTGCAAATCAAATCTTTTCTTGCAAAATCCGGATAAAAAGTTGTTTTTCAACCCCGAGAATCGGTCAGAATCGGATTAAGGGATACTTGATGTATCCTTCCAGAAAATGGATCATTTTCTTTGCACCCGTAGAATGAGTGACAAAGTGGACAAGTATTTAAACCTATAAATTTGCTACTGAAACATACAATTCCTTCCCGTTTTTGAGCAGAATAGGGTCCGCTACGTCCAGTTGCAGTTCCTCGTTGGGATCTGTTAGATTTGACAAAAGATTAGAGGAGTTGAAAGCTTTTAATGATTTTTAAGTTCTTATCGTAGGCTGAACATTCTCGGTAGTCACAGCAAAAACCGAGAATCTCTCGATGCATTCAGGGCCACCAGAAAAACTCGGCCGCTTCAATTAAGGCTTCTGGCCGGGATGTGAGCGATGTAGGCAGTTGATAACGGCTTTTCTTTGACAATTATGAATTGCAATTTGACAGCCCACGATTACACTATCATAAATAAAGAAGGCAGAATTGTAGAAGCTTGAGTAGTTTTCACCCAAATTTGTTTAAAACTTGTTCACCCTTTCTATATTTGTTGAAAATACATTTTCTCATCGGGTCAAGTTGAACGTCCACCGTGGTGAGCTCGCTAAAATCAGCATCAAAAAGGTTAGCGAGTGGTTGAAATCTTCCCCCTGGTGTGACTACGGGTACATTTGCTTGAGCAATCCGGCCGACCTGATGACCGGCCTTCATTATCCGAGCGGGGTACAAGGGCAATTTTTCCGTAATGTCGCTTGTACTAGTAGTCGTTTGTACGGTGACATCTAATTTTTATCTGCTGCGACGTGAACGAGGCCTCTTTGTCGCAGTTACGTCATCGAATTGTCGGCCTACTCCGTCCTGATTTAGCCTGCGGTGGAATGCTGAATTGCTCCATGCTTCAATCAAAAAAAATCCAGAAACATAGAGCCGGGAATAATTTCTGATGTACTAGTTTTTGCCTGCTTGCTTATAGATATTCGTGAAATCTGCGTGCATGTCTGCGTACAACGAATCAGAATGACTTCCACATAAATTAAAGCCCTCTTGCGGTGCGGCTGCAAAATGTTTTTGTTCATGTCACCCTCTTGTGGTGGGGACATTTTAACATTCAAGTCTACTAATTGGCTGATTTCTGTGCCGCCTTAGTTGCGAGTTTGGCCCGATGTGGCGATAAATCTAATACTGCGTTTTGATTGGAACCGATTTCTGCCGTTCAAGACGTTGAATTCTGCAGACCCCGCAGCGTGTAGAAAACCGAAAAGTTTTGCCTAACACATCCCATATCTTGACCAACGCAGATATAGAGGACTCTCATTTAGGCGTTAAATGACAACGAGCGCGAAGAATTCCGCGACGAATAAGTTCATTGGCTCATTTGAACAACTTAGCAATCTTTTGTTACCGATTTCAAAAAATGCTTTGCCGAATGCAGATGAAGCTCTGCAGAATTTTATGGATAAGTAAAAAGTTTTCCATTTTAATTCGGCACTTGTTTCCGCTCTAAGGAAGCGAATTGAGGACGTCCAATTTTTGTTGGGGTTCTTTTGGGAGACGGCGATGGGGACAAAATCTTGGACGACAAAACTGTTTTGATTTTGTGGCTCCTTGGAATGGAATTTTTTCGAATAACTCCTTGACGGAGTGTTTGAGGGCACTGTTGAAGAACTGACTTTGCTTCTTCGCTTTCCCTGAAATCCTTGTCGCCGCACCTGATGAGACCGCCGATCCGGCGTCATCTACCGACCCTACGTCGGGAGGTGCCAACGCCGTCTGGAGTTCTCGGTCTGTTTCCAAAGGTAACGATTCTTTTCCCTTTCTGTCTGGTCTTGCTTCGGAGTAGTTGCTGGTGGGCGTTTCACCGTTTTTGCCAATGATGTCGCCTTGGCGGTAGATGTCACTTTTGGTTGAGTCTGGACTTTGGCTGTCGCCCTACCTGAGCTCTTGGAGTAAAGTACCGCTAGTTCCGGGTCCCGGTTTATATGCCGGCTAGTTGTGATCAGGCGAATTTTCTCCCCCAAATCTGCGTTGAGTCAATAAAGACCTAGCCTTTACTGAGGAAAATAAAAACTTTAAGACATCTTCCGCTGACGAGGAGGACACTGGGGATAAGTCCCGCCGAGACGGAATTGTCCTGATTTTTAAGCGCGGAGTCGCTGATTTGTTTCATTCCGGTGGGTTGAGAAGAGCTGGGCTGTTGCTGCGGGCCTAAATGCTCATGTCAAGAGAAAAATGTTTTTTTTTTCTGATGACTCATCTTTTCGGTATTATGCATATTTCCAGTCACTTCATCGGTGAATGGCTTAAAAAGAGACGAGCCAGATTTCCGATCAATAATTTGCGGAATACACGGATACTAGAGAAACTATGAATAAGATTTTTCCAAATTATTTTGTACTTCAATAGTCCTGAGGATCTCACTCGGCAACGAAGAGTTCCTGATTCAGAGCGCAGACTCGATGCTAAATTCGATTATCTGCTATTCGAGTAAGTGATCGGAGAGCTGCTGCGAAAGAAGCTTCCTCTGCTATTTCCGGTCCTGCGCTTCTCTGCCCAGATTCTCCAAGGAAACGGTAGTACTCAATATCTGTGATAGGAACATTTTCGTGACAGGAAATTAATTTTGATGAATTTGTTTTGGGCCGGGACTAAATGAACTTAATCATTATGTCAAACGTATCATCAGAACGTAACCAGGAAGAAACAAATCTAAAGAATTGAAAATCCGGCCAAAAATTCAGCCAGAAAAATCAGTAGGACCAAATAAGCTTTGTGAAAAAATATTTAGTACAGAACAATCAACAATAAAAAGTAACTAACAGCGAACTGGAAAAAAGTTGAGGAACAAGGATCCTGAAAAAACTAGATATATATTTTTGAATTTTCTAGTTTTAGTATATTCAAAAAATTTATTACACCTGAAATCTTCCAGTTTTTGAAAACTATATTTTTGGTTAAAACCTCTAACAAACTGCTGGAAAACAATCAATCAACGCAAGGAAACCGAATAAAAAATGATTCAAGGAAAAATTAAATGGCCTTAAAATTTCTTTGAATTTCAAGATCAATTAATCAATGAGATTTTCTTTCTATTAAATCAACTGAAAATTGGATCAATAGACGAAAGTTTTATTTCGCTGGAAGAGCTGACAATTAATATCCACTTTCGAAATTAGAACTCGATCACGTTTTTCGCGACCTTTACATTTTTGCTGTTCGATAGGAGGTTGCCTTCCTTCCAACAAAAAAAAGAAGGGAAAAAATCAATCAGCGAAAAATCAAATTCGCGCCTGATTCAAATTTGAGACTTTTCCAGAAAAAATCATCCTTTTATGTTGTCCTTCTACGTATCAGTACGTTCATTGACTCTTCATAAAACTAAATAGATTTGAAAAAATGCATCATTTGATAAAAACTTAATTGAACTCAAAAATCAGAACAGCCAAAAAATGGAAAAGTGTAATGAACTCGAAAGACTTGACTTTTTTTGAATCTCTGAAAGTCCCACAAAATATATATATATATATATATATATATATATATATATATATATATATATATATATATATCGGTGTCAGGACTATTTGCCCCAAGTCAATTGGCCCTATGCCAACTTGTCCTATACTAACTTGCCCTACATGGCAACTTGTCCTATGCCAACTTGCCCCACATGACATTTTGTGCTATGCCGTTTTATCCCATACTTAACACTTTTACTTGATTCATTGATGTTCAAATTGAGGACCAGCAAGTGCTAATGTACACTGGACTCGTTTCGAGATAACAAAAGACTCTAATCGAAAATATTCGAAGCTGAGCTTAAAAAACCATAATTTTTGGTAATTACACGCCAAACTTTGACAATAATCCACAATTAGCGCCTTTGAAACAAAATGAAACACGGCTAGTCTTTCATTTTTCTTCATTGTTTACTATTTCGTTCTTAAACATCCACTTAAATACTTCAACATAAATA